TTTGGCAGTCGCTTCAAGAGTTCCCATATAGCTGGCCATGTCCTGTGAATCTTTTAGCAGAGGGCAAAACAAGTCTTTTTTTGGGGGGGTGAACGTACCCGCATCCTTGCGGTATGTGTCGTACATCAAAGCTAGCGAGAATTCAGGACGAGTATATAATTGGCGAAGGAGAACGTACACCGCAACGTGAGAAGTGTACGTCTTCTTTGATCGAATCCTGACCGAATTTCTCCCAGGACCGTTTGGATCAAGCACAGTTTTGAAATCCGTTCGAAGGATGAACGTATCGGAGGTAGCGTAAGTCAGGTTTTGATGAATTGAAGTTGGCTTATCGACATAGGTCCTGGATAGCTATCTCAGGATGGACCAGACAAAAATGAGAGTGCTCACACTCTTCCATGCGTTGGGTCCTCAATCGCCTCCCATTCAAAGAAGCTGTAGAAGCCTGGGCCGTAAACCTCATCGGAGAGTGAATAGATCGCCCCATAGGCGCGGGCAGGAATAAAAAGAGTGGTGAGGGCAATGAATGTGCTGAACCTCATTGAAAGATCAAAAGGGGGGACTTGAAGGCACCTTTCTTCTTCGCTGCTTCGTTATAAATAAAGGAACTTCGGCAGAGCCTCCGAGGCTCTGCCGAATGCACCTTTGGTGCTATTGAATATCCCATGCCACATATACTCGGCGCAATCTTCAGGGGCCGTCGAAACTGCGTATGTCAGACCACTTATGATACCGGAGGCCGCTCGGAGGATCGTCGATTGAGCGGAGGATAGAAGGTTAGTGCGGACAAAACCGTGGATAAAGGTGAGGTCTTGATTTGGTTCAGCGAGTTCTTGTACAATTTCTGAGTACTCAATCATGGGAAAAAAAATTGTCACTCACCTCCATCATGAGATCGAAGCAAGCGCGGCTTTGGCCACAGAGAATGACTTTTTCAATCCCAAATCCTCAACGTCAATCTCCCCACCCTTCCCAGCACCCAACACCGAACACACTTTCACGTCCTCCCCGTCTTCCTTTGCTCTTTTCAACGCAGGCGGCAACCCATTCGCAAAAGTCCACCTGGCATAGTGATTCAGTGCCAACTTGTGATCGATCGCCTCCTCCGTCTCATCTCGACCCTTCAACGTCATGTACCCAGGAGACATGACGAGGAAGTTTATCTTCGGATGGCGTGAGAGGATTTCCTTGGTCGTAGCATGTACGTTCTTCATGAGGGTCGCATCGCATTCGATGAACTCGTGAGAGACACCAGGGGTCGTTGGCTTGGGGAGTTTGGCGATGATGGCGTCAGCGGCGGCGCGATTCCTCCCAGCGATGATGATCGTTGCGTTGCCTTGTGTGTATTTCCCCAAGGCTTGGCCAATTCCAGGGAGTGGGGGTGGGGTAGATGGCGCTGACGACGATCTAAGCGGCGAGGACCAAACCAACAGGCTTTCCAAAGAAAAAGAAAGATAAACTTGAGCGGGAATGGTGGCTCAAAGAATGAGAGTCCGCACCTGCGAGATTCGCCAAAGTAACTTCCGCATGCAACTAAACTAGCATTCCCTTTACACCACTTCTAAGGTCTCCCCATCGCTCAAAATCAGTCGTTGAAGATGCTTGGTGGTCTGAGCAGCACCCCGAAACCGAATATCTGCGTCCAAGACGCGTATCCTAACATACTTGAGTGACTGACGGACGGGGCGAGGATTTTACAAAGGTAAACAATGAGCCACCGTCGGCTAAGGCTCCGTCTGCACTTCCTTTTTTAGAACTGTCATCGAGACACCCCGACAATCAACTATTCGTTATCAGATCCCAAACCACGAACATAAATGGAACCGTCTCTCGACATAATTTCAACAGCTTTTCGCGCATCTGGACTCTCCGTCTCAAACTATGTTGTCACCCTGAGCATCCGGTGTTGAGAGATGACCCGTTTACTATCGATCTCGTTAACAATGCGAACAAGATCATGAAGGCTTTCTCATGCCATCCGTCTTCAAAAGATTCGGCCTTTGACTGGGCAGCGAGTACTATGAGGAAGAAATAGTTTTGAGAATGTTATTGTTTACCTTTGTAAAATGCCAGCCGTCGTGGAGGGGTACAAAAAAAGGAAGTTGCGGTAATTAAAATAATGATTAGATCAATGATTGCATTTGTCATATAAACCTTAATTTTCGCAGGTGAAGTCGTCTGCGCTCTCTGATGTATTTCTTTTTTTCATACCCCGGAGCGACGGCTGGGTAGGAGACTGATTACAATTCGTTCCTGTGATTACCTGCCTTACCTGCCTTAAGTTATAAGGCTTCCTGGGTTTTTCCGACAATCAGCTGATTCCGCTCACGTGGGTTGTTCACGGCATCTATCCTTCGCCTCTTCCACTGTTCCAGTCACCTTCCACTTCCACTCCATGTCCTCTGTCTCAACCTCTGCACATCCCCACTGATGCCGCCTCTGTACTTCCCTTTCGGAGGGCACAAAATCATCTCTTTTCATCCGAAGCACCATTTTCTGACAACTGACCTCGTTTGATGCTGTACTTAGGCATATGATTTATTACTCGTGACTGATCTAGACCTTGAGCTTGACCGCCTTGATCACGACAACCATGCCAGTCACATTTTCGCCCACTTCCCTGCGCGCTGAATTCTTCCCTCTAACAGTCGCGGCTACCCCCCTTTCCCCGTCCTCCCTCCTTGCCGCCGCCTGTCCCCAACAATCCCGCTTCTGCGCCTCCCTCCTCCAATCCTCCCTCCCAGCCGAATCGCACAACACCATCGCCCAACGAAACGGGCTTGTACACACCATAGTCGAAGCATACAATAAGCACAGACACCTCCGCCTCCGCCCGGATGACGTCTGGACTGCCATACTTATCCAATTTAACTTCTTCGTCAATGGACGGAGTGAGAAGCTCCGTTCTCAGTTCGTGGCGCATGAGGGGAAGAAGCAGCTTGTCGTTCCGGAAATCGTTATACTGTCGATTTCGGTGCGATGGCGATGGATATGACGCGGGAATTGGAGAAAAACGTCGTTGACCCGTCTTTGCGTGCGTGGATCCTCCCGACGTTCAGCACGACGACTACGACGGATACGATCGTCGCTTCTGTGATTATGATGTCGAGCATGAAGAAGTACTTTGATTACAAGTTCTGTCTTGATTGCGGGATTCCGAGCGTTACACTGGAAGGTGAGAGAGGGGATTGGGAGGATATATTGCAGAGGATTGAGAAGTTGAAGGAATATGGAGTGGAGGCGGTTGGGTGGTATCACTTGCTGCTTCCTGTCCTCGCGCAGTTCGTGTCGGTGTTTGATAATGCGAAGAGCAAGAAGAATAAGGAGTTCTGGGGGAAAGTGTGTCATTATGACGGGGGCGGGAGCGGGCCGCTCTTCCTTGGTGGGTGGGTAACTGCGTTTTGTGCTTTTGATGAGGATGGGAGGTGGCTCGGACACAGGTTCAAAAAGGGAATTGTGGAGGTACGCTCATTCGTTGCTTTCCCGATTTATACTCACCTGCTTTGTACTCAGGCAACA